ATATACTAAATAGACTAAATACGACTAAAACAATTCAGATGACTAAAACACAACTAAAACTAAAATGGCATTTTAGTCAAAAGACTAGGAGTAAAACTAAATCGAAATTCGATGTCAAAATGACTACTGTTGCTCAGTAATCTTGAAATAAGTTCATTCAAATTTCCAATTTATAAATCTAAGAAAAGGTTTTACATCTTTGGAGTGACATAAACTTTGTTGCTGTTCAAAGTTACAGTTCTGTGCAATATTCTCATCTGCCTGGGCTGTTTGTATCGGCATTACAATATGAATTATTAGAAGGTCGTGTTCTGGGGACTGCGGCTTGTTTCAGCACAGGATATATTTCCAGGAAGTTTATATAATCTCTAAACCTATGGCAGAGGCCCGTAAGACGTCAGCTACTGTATGTGAAATTCTTAACATTGTTGAAAACCTTTTGTGCACAAAGGAAACAGAGAACCACAAAGAACTGACCACACTGCCAATGAATAAATCATATGTTAATCTTGGTTTAGTAAAAAGGTTTTATACTTTTATCATGAGAAGCATTAAACAAAATGAAGGAGTTTTACTGATATATTTCTGTGCGGAAGGGCACATGTTCTGCAGAATCCACTGTGTATTGTACTTATGTTATTACTGATAGTTGATAAATATATAATTAAAATCATAGCACATGTAGGGATCTACTGCCCTCTACTGTACAAATTTTTGAATGCCTGTAAATATATACGGTAAGTATGCACTTCCCGCCCCCTGGGTCATTGGGTTTGAAATCCTGGAAGGGGGACGTGGGGAGAGAGAGTCTAAGCAACATGTCCGTCCATGCTGCTAATCCCCAAACCAGAAGAGATTATTATAAACTACAGTACATGGGAAGGACTAAAGCACAGTGTAGATAGGCTGACTCTGAGCTCCAGTGCCACAGTTCTTGCAGATGAGAAGTTCCATTCCAGGCTGGTGAGACAACAGTTACAGGATACCCCCATGACCCACTGATCTTGTCTTCAGGTCTCCAACACAAAGACAGATGTTGGATTATCCTCAGCAGATCCTACAACTGAACTTTGCTGCAACATTCATCTGGAGGTATTTCTATTAACCTCCCTGGCGGTCTGATTATTTCAGATTTTTGGTGCTGAAAGCGGTACGATTTTTTTGCATGGAAATATGTATTTTTTTTTATTGTAGGCCTGTAATTTAGGAATAACTCACTGAAATCTGTCCGAACAAGAGTCTAATAAACATTCCGGATATGTTAAAACTTGAAACACAAAATCATAAATTATAATTTAATAAATAATCATAAAATAATAATAATATAATAATAATACATTTAATTCAATAATATAATCAAACCAAAAACACAGAAATGTGAAATATAGCGCCAAGTTCGCACATCGCTGAGCAAAGTCGCAGAATCGTTTTCAGTGTCTGATGAGGAATTTCCCCCACGAATCATTATCACTCAACTCTGCAAGTGGTTCTGATTTACTATCGCTGTTCTCTAGATGGTCTAAACCCACTTTTGACCTAAAGGGACGCTTTTTGGACGCCGTAGACTTTTCTAAGTTTCCAGGCAGAAAGAAAATGCAGGCAGGGCGCCGGACAAAGCACTCGGGACAAAATGTATGTGAAATGGGTTGAAACAGCAATGTTGTACTATGTAAAATTCGTTTTGAAAAAAATAAAAAAAAATTCAAATTTTCAAATTTCCTGCCTCCGCCGGCACCCGTACGTCCCGACGTCACAGGGACCGGAACACAGAAGCCGGATGCCGGCATTAGCCAGAGGAGATGGCTGGGGACGCTGCAGGGGACGCATTGCGGGAGCGAAGGACAAGGTAAGCTCTGCAGGAATCCCTGAGCAACGCCGCATGGTAAGCCCGAGTGTAGCTCGGGGGGGGGTTACGCTTTTGGTACTGAAACTTTACCCCGAGCTACACTCGGGAATACTGCCAGGGAGGTTAAAAAAAATGAAGGAGTTTTACTGATATATTTCTGTGCGGAAGGGCACATTTTCTGCAGAATCCACTGAGTACTGTACTTATGTTATTACTGATAGTTGATAAATATATCATTAAAATCATAGCACGTGTAGGCGCCATATAAATCCTGTATAATTAAAAAATGTTTCCAGGAATTCTGCTTTAACCTCCCTAGCGGTCTGATTATGTCAGTATTTCTGTGCTCAAAGCGGTACATTTTTTTGATTGGAAATATGTATTTTCTTTCATTGTAGGCTGTAATTTTTAGGAATAACTCACTGAAATCTGTCCGAACAAGAGTCTAGTAAACATCCCGGGATGATAAAATTTGAAACACGAAATCAAATTATGATTTAATAAATCATAAAAAAATAATAAATTTAATTAAATGTAATCAAACCAAAAACACTGAAATGTGAAATATAGCGCCAAGTTGGCCCATCGCTGAGCTCAGTCGCAGAATCATCTCCAGTCCACTCCATCCTCTGTATTCTACCATCATCTCCAGTCCAGTCCATCCTCTGTATGTATTCTACCATCATCTCCAGTCCACTCCATCCTCTGTATGTATTCTACCATCATCTCCACTCCATCCTCTGTATGTATTCTACCATCATCTCCACTCCATCCTCTGTATGTATTCTACCATCATCTCCAGTCCAGTCCATCCTCTGTATGTATTCTACCATCATCTCCAGTCCACTCCATCCTCTGTATGTATTCTACCATCATCTCCAGTCCACTCCATCCTCTGTATGTATTCTACCATCATCTCCAGTCCACTCCATCCTCTGTATGTATTCTACCATCATCTCCAGTCCACTCCATCCTCTGTATGTATTCTACCATCATCTCCAGTCCACTCCATCCTCTGTATGTATTCTACCATCATCTCCAGTCCACTCCATCCTCTGTATGTATTCTACCATCATCTCCAGTCCACTCCATCCTCTGTATGTATTCCACCATCATCTCCAGTCCAGTCCATCCTCTGTATGTATTCCACCATCATCTCCAGTCCAGTCCATCCTCTGTATGTATTCTACAATCATCTCCAGTCCAGTCCATCCTCTGTATGTATTCTACCATCATCTCCAGTCCACTCCATCCTCTGTATGTATTCTACCATCATCTCCAGTCCACTCCATCCTCTGTATGTATTCTACCATCATCTCCAGTCCACTCCATCCTCTGTATGTATTCTACCATCATCTCCAGTCCATTCCATCCTCTGTATGTATTCTACCATCATCTCCAGTCCACTCCATCCTCTGTATGTATTCTACCATCATCTCCAGTCCACTCCATCCTCTGTATGTATTCTACCATCATCTCCAGTCCACTCCATCCTCTGTATGTATTCTACCATCATCTCCAGTCCACTCCATCCTCTGTATGTATTCTACCATCATCTCCAGTCCATTCCATCCTCTGTATGTATTCTACCATCATCTCCAGTCCAGTCCATCCTCTGTATGTATTCTACCATCATCTCCAGTCCACTCCATCCTCTGTATGTATTCTACCATCATCTCCACTCCATCCTCTGTATGTATTCCACCATCATCTCCAGTCCACTCCATCCTCTGTATGTATTCCACCATCATCTCCAGTCCACTCCATCCTCTGTATGTATTCTACCATCATCTCCACTCCATCCTCTGTATGTATTCTACCATCATCTCCACTCCATCCTCTGTATGTATTCTACCATCATCTCCAGTCCACTCCATCCTCTGTATGTATTCTACCATCATCTCCACTCCATATCTCTGTATGTATTCCACCATCATCTCCAGTCCACTCCATCCTCTGTATGTATTCTACCATCATCTCCAGTCCACTCCATCCTCTGTATGTATTCTACCATCATCTCCAGTCCAGTCCATCCTCTGTATGTATTCTACCATCATCTCCAGTCCACTCCATCCTCTGTATGTATTCTACCATCATCTCCAGTCCACTCCATCCTCTGTATGTATTCTACCATCATCTCCAGTCCACTCCATCCTCTGTATGTATTCTACCATCATCTCCAGTCCACTCCATCCTCTGTATGTATTCTACCATCATCTCCAGTCCACTCCATCCTCTGTATGTATTCTACCATCATCTCCAGTCCAGTCCATCCTCTGTATGTATTCTACCATCATCTCCAGTCCACTCCATCCTCTGTATGTATTCTACCATCATCTCCAGTCCACTCCATCCTCTGTATGTATTCTACCATCATCTCCAGTCCACTCCATCCTCTGTATGTATTCCACCATCATCTCCAGTCCACTCCATCCTCTGTATGTATTCTACCATCATCTCCACTCCATCCTCTGTATGTATTCTACCATCATCTCCACTCCATCCTCTGTATGTATTCTACCATCATCTCCAGTCCACTCCATCCTCTGTATGTATTCTACCGTCATCTCCACTCCACTCCATCCTCTGTATGTATTCTACCATCATCTCCAGTCCACTCCATCCTCTGTATGTATTCTACCATCATCTCCAGTCCACTCCATCCTCTGTATGTATTCTACCATCATCTCCACTCCATCCTCTGTATGTTATGCTCTATTCCTGGATTGTAACCAGTGCGAAGTTGTTCCTGATATCTGTGGCTTCATGTTGTCTAGATATTGGCTGTAGTACCCACACAATGCTAGTACAAAAAGAAGCAGCAGCACTGTGTTATTTATATTGAAATCTTACACTTTTACGAGTATAAAACACCCAAAAAGGGACACTTAATTCCCATTTTAAAACTTTGTCAAATCGATGAAACTTCAGTAAAGGCCATGCTGGGACAGAAGCATCATAAGGAACCTTATATAGCCAATTGCATGAGACCATCCCTCCACATTACTGAGTCTAGGTGTTTCCAGGAGACAGTTCATGCTACAGAACACAAATACATTTTGTAGGACTGTGTACTTCCAATCTTGTGACAAGGGAAGACCCTTTTCTGTTGCAGCACAGTCCTGTGCACATAGCAGGTCCATAAAGATTTGTTTTTTTTCCAGAGCAGCCTGTATTTCTCCTGAGGTTGCCTGTGGATTTTTTCTTTGTATCCCTAACAATTCTTCTGGCAGTTGTGGCTGCACTTTTTCTTGGTCTACCTGACCTTGGCTCGGTATCAAGAGATCCCTGAACTTTCCACTTTTCAATCCCTTGGCGCCGGCGCCTCCCGGTCCTTTAAGGGTTTCAGAAGCTGGGAGCCAGGGCGGGGTTTTAGGGTCATGTGACCGCTGTGATTCACCGTCACATGATTGGGAAAGGTCCCGATCGAAAGAGGAGATCGGGACCTTTCCGTGAGTACCGGACATGTGTGCTGGGAGCACGCAGGGCGCACGCTGTCAGCACATATGTTTTTCTTAATTGCACACAAATGTGCGGCCGCTCTGCGTCTAGGCCCAGACGCCGGGAGGCCGCACATTTGTGTGTGGGCAGCGTGAAGAGGTTAATAAGTGATTGAACAGTACTGACTGGCATAGTGTCAGGGCAGGGCTGTGGAACGGACAGGTAGGCCTAGTGGCAGGGTAACGGACTGGCTGACGACAACCACCACCAACAGACCGAAGTCCCTCAGGGCGCGGAGTCTAAGTCCCAGGCTGCCCTTCACCAGGGCCCCTGATGGTGGGGATGGACTTGACGCAGCCAGGAACCAGGTCGCGGCCCCCGAGACACCCCGACTGCGGTAATGGCCGCCGCCAATGGCGTGTAGCTGGTGAGAATGACAATAGCGTAGTCAGGCAAGCCGGGTCGACAACAACGGGACAAAACGGTACAGAACAGTAGACAGAGAATAACAGGTCACGGGCCGGGTTCAGCAACGGAAGGTCAGATCGAAGGAAAACACAGAGAATGGTCTAGTCACAAGCCGAGTCAAATACCAGAAGAGTCACGAGCGTATACACAGAGCTGTAGCAAGACAAAGACACAAGACACAAGTGCAAAGAGCATGTGCGGATCACAGGCTTATATGTACTCAGCCACACCCCTCTGGGGGATGGACCTCAGAGACCTGAAGGCATAAAAGATTCCCACCATGCTCAGCAGAAATCCAAGATGGATGCCAGCACATGGAGTAACATAACCTCTGGGAAAAGGTAGGACCTTGACACATAGTCAAGGCTTTAGATATCTTTTTATATTCTTTTCCATCTTTATAAAATTCCATTACCTTGTTATGCAGATCTTTTGGAAGTTCTTTTCTGCTCCCCATGGCTCAGTATCTAGCCTGCTCAGTGCATTCACGTGAGAGCTTACAAACTCATTGACTATTTATACACTGACACTAATTGCAATTTAAAAAGCCACAGATGTGGGACATTAACCTCTAATTGCCATTTTAACGCATGTGTGTCACCTTGTGCGTCTGTACCAAGGCCGAACATTCCAGGGGAGGGAAACGTTTGATCAGGGCTATTTGCGTCATTTCTGTTATCATTATGATAAGAAATGGCTTTTTTTGATCATTATCCATAAATAAAAGACAGTTTCTTTTGGCCTGATCAGTCATATTTTCAATATAAATGCAAATATTTCCACAATTTCTTCCAGGGTGTGCAAACTTTTGAGCACAACTGTAGTTCAGATTTGTCAGTGTGCAAGTGCTTAAGTGTCAACTGATGTCAGTAAAGCTGAGCAAGCTTATCAAAGGGGACCATGTTTTTTAGCCCTTGTAAAGCAGAGGTAAGTACACTGATTTTGGACAAGGAATTATGAGTTTGCACCCGCCAAAATTATCATGTAATGTTGGTACTTTATCAAATGATTTAGTGTCTTGAGGCAAATCAGGGTGTGTACATTTGGGAATTCGAAGACATAATAACACAATACAAACAAGGAACCGTGTGCAATCATATTACTGATTTAACCTCCCTGGCGGTATGATTCTTTCCGATTTTTTGTGCTGAAAGCGGTACCATTTTTTCGCATGGAAATAGTTTTTTATTGTAGGCTTTAGGAACATTTCCCCACAAATCATTATCACTCAATTCTGCAAGTGGTTCTGATTTACTATCGCTGTTCTCTAGCTGATCTAAACCCGCTTTTGACCTAAAGGGACGCTTTTTGGACGCCATGGACGTTTCTACATTTCCAGGCAGAAAGAACAATCAAAATGCAGACAGGGCGCCGGACAAAGCACTCGGGACAACATGTATGTGAAATGGGTTGAAACAGCAATGTTTTGCTATGTAGGATCGTTTTGAAAAAAATGACATTTTTTTTTAAATTTTCAAATTTCCCGTCGCAGCCGGCGCCCGTACGTCCCGACGTCACGGGGACCGGAACACAGGAGCCGAATGCCGGCATCAGACGGAGGAGATGGCCGGGGACGCTGCAGGGGACACATCGCGGGAGCCAAGGACAAGGTAAGTGCTGCAGGGACTCCCTATGCAGTGCTGCATGGTAAGCCCGAGTGTAGCTCAGGGGGGGTTACCGCTTTTGGTACTGACATTTTACCCCGAGCTACACTCGGGAATACCGTTAGGGAGGTTAAAAGAAAAGCACCAAAAAAAAAGCACAGACGCCATGCACTTTTGATGCATTCTCTTTGATTTACAATGGAAGGTGCCTTTTTTTGTTGCGCTTTTGAAAAACTGTACCAAAGCTGCAGCATGCAGAACTTTTAAAAATGCAGTATACCACATCACAATGATATGAACAGTTACTCAAGAGTTACAGGAAAATAGTGTTCATGTGCATCTATCACCCTGGAAATATATGGCAAAAGTGCACCAGTATGAAGGGGCCTTACTGTCTGGTGGCTTACATGCTTCCAGAGACGTAGCTCTAAGCACTTAGAGCCTAATCAATCTATTAAAGTAGATAGAAACCCTAACTAAATTATATAAAGGACTTGATTTACTAAAACTGGAGAGTGAAAAATCTGGTGCAGCTGTCCATGGTAGCCAATCAGCTTCTAACCAGCATTATTAATTATATTCATGTCAAACAAAACTAGAGGCTGATGGTTTTCTATGCACAGCTGCACCAGATTTTTCAAAAATTTTCATCCTATTTGCATCTCAGGGCTGCTGATTTCCTCCAGCCTTCTTGCTGACACTGCTGTCCACATGAACGACTCCAGCTTTAGCTGCATGTGATTGCTCAGTTCAGGTTTCCAGTCAAGTCCTGGACTGAGCGAAGCTCCTCTCACGGGAGGGCCAGCATGACTGGGGCGTACAGACGAGGCGGAACGTGTATTTTGGGTGGGAGAAAGAACAGTAAAACTGCAGGCAGGGCGCCGGACAAAGCACTCGGGACACAATGTATGTGAAATGGGATGAAACAGCAATGTTTTACTATTTAAAATAAAAAATAAAAAAAAAAGACAAAAATTTTTTATTTCCCGCCGCCGGCGGCGCCCGTACGTCCCGACGTCACAGGAACCGGAACACAGAAGCCGGATGCCGGCATCGGCCGAGATGATGGCCGGGGGACGCTGCAGGGGACACATCGCGGGGTTCGAGCGAAGGACAAGGTAAGTGCTGCAGGGACTCCCTATGCAGCGCCGCATGGTAATCCCGAGTCTAGCTCGGGGTTAGACGCTTTTGGTACTGACATTTTACCCGAGCTACACTCGGGAATACCGCCAGGGAGGTTAAAAACCTGCAGCTGAGTCAATGTCCCTGCAGCTGGACATACAGTACATGAGTAGAATTTAGGTCAGTAAAGTTAATTCACTCCAAAATCGAACATTAAAGGATCACCTTTGTGAAAAAAATAAATAAATGCACATATTTTTGTAGGAAAAAAAATGTGCATTTATCATTTTTTTTTTTATTTGAGTCTGCAGAGCATTGCATCTATGATTAGTGGATCTTGGGTGCAATGTCAGGCTCCTGCAAACACTGCCTAGAGCTCTCTACCTGTATCTCTGTATGGACAGACAGTTCCTGAGCTGTAGGTAGTGTGAATGAACTAGGATCATGCTAATCAATGCGCTCACAGTTCATTGATACTACAAGTCCATCTGCCATGGCGGTGGATGGGACTTGTAGTATATTCATTCACAGATTCCTGTACAGGTGGACTGTTTTCAAAATGTGACAACGTGTGCGGAGAGAGGATTCTGTCTGCTGTCACAGAGAGGGGAGCTCTGGCAGCAGGAGGTGGGCGCATAGGAGCATTTTACATGTTACACCCTACATGTAACACACTCCAAGAGATGAACATATCTAACCTATGTAAGTATAACATGTTTGTTATTAAGAAAAAAAAATGTACAGGTGAAACTCCAAAAATGAGAATCTGGTGCATTCATTCATTTATTTCAGTGCAGCAACTTAAAAGGTGAAACTAATATATGAGACTCATTCCATGCAAAGCAAGATAGTTCAAGCCGTGATTTGTCATCATTGTGATGATTATGGCTTACAGCTCATGAAAACCCCAAATCCACAATCTCAGAAAATGAGAATATTCCATGCAATCAATAAAACACGGATTGTACATAGAACAATATCGGACCTCTGAAAAGTAGAAGCTGCATATGTACTCAGTACTTGGTTTGGGCCCCTTTTGCAGCAATTACTGCCTCAATGCGGCGTGGCATGGAAGCTATCAGCCTGTGGCACTGCTGAGGTGTTATGGAAGACCAGGATGCTTCAATAGCGGCCTTCAGCTCTTCTGCATTGTTCGGTCTCATGTCTCATCTCTCTCTTGGCAATGCCCCATAGATTCTCTATGGGGTTCAGGTCAGGCGAGTTTGCTGGCCAATCAAGCACAGTAATCCCACGGTCATTGAACCAGGTTTTGGTGCTTTTGGCAGTGTGGGCGGTGCCAAGTCCTGCTGGAAAATGAAGTCAGCATCCCCATAAAGCTCGTCTGTGGAAGGAAGCATGAAGTGCTCCAAAATCTCCTGGTAGAAGGCTGCGGTTGACCCTGGACTTCATGAAGCACAGTGGACCAACACCAGCAGATGACATGGCCTCCCCAAATCAACACAGACTGTGGAAACTTCACACTGGACTACAAGCATCTTGCAGTGTGTGCCTCTCCATTCTTCCTCCATACTCGGGGTCCTGGGCCTCTCCATTCTTGTGCCTCTCCATTCCTCCTCCATACTCGGGGTCCTTGGGCCTCTCCATTCTTCCTCCATACTCGGGGTCCTTGTGCCTCTCCATTCCTCCTCCATACTCGGGGTCCTTGGGCCTCTCCATTCTTCCTCCATACTCGGGGTCCTTGGGCCTCTCCATTCTTCCTCCATACTCGGGGTCCTTGGGCCTCTCCATTCTTCCTCCATACTGGGTCCTTGGGCCTCTCCAATTCTTCCTCCATACTCGGGGTCCTTGTGCCACTCCATTCTTCCTCCATACTCGGGGTCCTTGGGCCTCTCCATTCTTCCTCCATACTCGGGGGTCCTTGGGCCTCTCCATTCTTCCTCCATACTCGGGGTCCTTGGGCCTCTCCATTCTTCCTCCATACTCGGGGTCCTTGGGCCTCTCCATTCTTCCTCCATACTCGGGGGGTCCTTGTGCCTCTCCTTGGGTGCCTCTCCATTCTCCTCCTCCATACTCCATTCTTCCTCCGGGGTCCTTGGGCCTCTCCATTCTTCCTCCATACTCGGGGTCCTTGGGCCTCTCCATTCTTGGGCCCTCCATTCCTCCATTCGGGTCCTTGGGCCTCTCCATTCTTCCTCCATACTCGGGGTCCTTGGGCCTCTCCATTCTTCCTCCATACTCGGGGTCCTTGTGCCTCTCCATTCTTCCTCCATACTCGGGGCCCTTGTGCCTCTCCATTCTTCCTCCATACTCAGGGTCCTTGTGCCTCTCCATTCTTCCTCCATACTCTGGGTCCTTGGGCCTCTCCATTCTTTCTCCATACTCTCTGCCTCTCCATTCTTCCTCCATACTCGGGGTCCTTGGGCCTCTCCATTCTTCCTCCATATTCTTCCTCGGGGTCCTTGGGCCTCTCCATTCTTCCCTCCATACTTGGGGTCCTTGTGTCCTTTCTCCATTCTTCCTCCATACTCGGGGTCCTTGGTTTCCAAATGGAGATGTAAAGTTGCTCCCATCAGAAAAGAGGACTTTGGACCACTGAACAGCAGACCAGGTCTGTTTTTCTTTAGCCCAGGTAAGACTCTTCTGACGTTGTTTGTTGTTCATGAGCGGCTTGACAAGAGGAATACGACATTTGAAGCCCATGTCCAGGATCCGTCTGTGTGTGGTGGCTCTTGATGCACTGACTCCAGCCTCAGTCCACTCCTTGTGAAAGTCCCCAACACTTTTGAATGGCCTTTTCCTGACAATCCTCTCCAGGCTGCGGTCATCCCTGCTGCTTGTGCACCTTTTTCTTCCACACTTTTCCCTTCCACATAACTTTCTATTAATGTGCTTTGATGCAGCACTTTGGGAACATCCAACTTCTTCTGCAATTCCCTTTTGAGGCTTTCCCTCCTTATGGAGGGTGTCAGCGATGGGTGTCAGGTCAGCAGTCTTTCCCATGATTGTGATTCCTACTGAACCAGACTGAGAGACCATTTAAAGGCTCAGGAACCCTTTGCAGGTGTTATGGCTGAATGAGCTGATTAGAGTGGGACACTTTGAGCCGAGATTATTCCACCTTTTCACAATATTCTCATTTTCTGAGATTGTGGATTTGGGGTTTTCATGAGCTGTAAGCCATAATCATCACAATGATGACAAATCACGGCTGGAACTATCTTGCTTTGCATGGAATGAGTCTCATATATTAGTGTCACCTTTTAAGTTGCTGCACTGAAATAAATGAATGAATGAATGAATGAATGACCAGATTCTCATTTTTTGAGTTTCACCTGTATAAAGATTTACAATTACAATCGCCTAATTGTAGTCTTAAAGGTTGCTAAACCCACAACAGTAAAATCAGTCCATATATACTCCTAGAGTGTAAGCTCCAAGGATCAGGGCCCTCGATCCCCCTCGTGTATTGTATTGTTACTGTCTTGTCTCATGTTCTGTCCCCCCTATAATGTACAGCGCTGAGCATACCCTTTGGCGCTATATAAATACTGTATAAATAATAATAATAATAATATACAGTAAAGCATGCTTGTTATACTCACTGTGGAACCTAAGGGGTTAATCCTCTGTATTGTGTAAAAAGGCCGTTTGATCCTGTCTTCTCTGCTCCTCCTCTTGTTCAAATGTCCGCATCTTATCTCCTGATAAGACAGACTGAACCGTAGCCATTGTGCACATGCTCAGTTTAGTTTGTATTGCTAGAGAGGTGTTTTTTTTTTTTCTTGGGAGAGTGCATGTGATCAGCACAGGGCCAATCAGACTGTCCAGACAGAGCTCAGGGGTTCTGCAGCCTCCTAGAACAGAAAGAAAGAAGTCACAAGACTGCTCTAACTGCTGATGAAAAAAGGTATTTAGCAGTTTATATTTATTAAAATAATTGCACTTCCATGTTCTGTGTACTGTGGGAGACCAGATATAGTGAATGCAGGGTCCGGGGAGACCAGATATA